CCCAGAACCTTCCTCCTCCTGGTTCTGCTCCTGTAGAACCAGAACCTTCCTCCTCCTGGTTCTGCTCCTGTAGATGGTGGATGATGGTGGAACATCTTTCTACAGCTGATGAGCAGACAGGAACAGTCTGGAGACATGGAGATAGTTCAACATCTGCAGGACGAGGAGACCACATGAGCTCCAGGGTTTAACATCTGGAACCACGTTGGTTCCAGGTTTTTATATTTTTGTAAAATCATTTTTCACGGTTGTTTTCTGTTTTCTGTTTTTTGGCACTAAGCTCACACACTGTCCCACCATCATGGTTCTGATGCTTCCTGATTCCAGACAATGTCTCTGAGATCCACGTGAACCAGAAGTTCAGAACACACCTTTTCTCCTCATGTAAAGGTTGATTTAAACATGTGGAGGTATTTTCAGAAAACGGCCTCGATAAGACGTGAAACGTGTTGCGATTCCCTGAAAACAGCCTCAAAGGGTTAAAACCATGAAGCGAAGCCTTCATCTGCCTGGATCACTCCCCGTTCTTTATCAGAACAGAACCGGCTGTGACTGACTGGCTCCGCCTCCACGCCGTCATGTGACCGCTGGCTGGTGGTCCGCACAGACAGGAGTTTATTTCCAGAGTGTTGAAGTGGAAAAGGTGCCACGCTCGCGGAGCTGCTCTTTATTGATGAGGCCGGAGCTGCAGAGCCTTATATAGACACCGCAGAGCGTCTGCAGCTCCACCACCAGCAGCTGCTGCAGACTCCCCGTCACACCGTGGAGCACCTTCTGCTGCCCCACCACGGCGCCGCTCCTCAGGCAGAGCGAAGAACCACCACGCCCGGAAACTCACCGCGAAAACTGTGAAAACCTGGGAGCAGAAAAACACGTTAAAACCACCAAACAGACATCAGCAGAACGATTATATTCTGAGTTGATTTAAAGACAGTCGAACTGTGATGCTGCAGCCAAAACACTGTAAAAGAACAAATGATCGGAGTGCAGACTTCTGCTGACTCACAGGTCAGAGCTGTTCCACTCCAACAGATTTTTCTGTAACTGAATAAAGCAGAAAAAATCTATAAGCAACAGAAAGTAGAAAATAAACAGTAATTTTATGGCCACTCGTTTAAAACAACAACAAAGAAAAACAAGTTGTTATCATCTGTATAAATCCAGGGTTCTGATGTAGACTTCTATATGGTTGAAACAATCAGATATATATATATATATATATATACTGTACACATATATTCATGTGTATATCCATATGATCCACAGGTAACATCTGTTGTTGTCAGTATCATCTGTATAAATCCAGGGTTCTGATGTAGACTTCTATATGGTTGAAACAATCAGATATATATATATATATATATATATATACTGTACACATATATTCATGTGTATATCCATATGATCCACAGGTAACATCTGTTGTTGTCAGAAGCGTTTGTTTAATGACGGTGGTTTTATAAAAGCAGAACGCCTTCACTTATTAAACCCTCCACATGTCGGACGCTGAAGGCTCTTCGCTCGTGAAGGTGACGATCAGTCAGTGAGGCGGTTTGGAAGTCCGGTTATCTTCCAGAAAACCTCCAGAGTGACCAGAAGCAGCGTCTCCTCCACATTAACGGGGGTTTTTGATTATTCGTCTGATTAACCGTCCAGTCGGGTTGCAGACTGAGCATCGGGCTGACACAGGACACCTTTCCTTTATTTCTAACATGTTAAGTCAGACAGTTTTCCACATCTTGCTGCCGTTTCAGATAATCACTAAAAACGGACGTATAGGTTCTAGTTTCCTGTGTTCTGGTGTTTTAATGCCGAGTTCTCAGTTCTGGATCATTAGAGACACATTATTTGTGGTGTTTGTCTGAAATTCACAGTTCACACATTTTAAAAGGAGAACATGTTGTAATTCAGAGCAACGTTAACAGGAGGTCTGCCGACAGCATGAGACAGTGGAGCTCAGGTTCTGCCGAGTCGGGTTCTCAACCAGTTCTACCGCCGTAGAGCTCGGTTTAGCAGGACGGCTCCCGACAGTTAGGTCGACTGATGAACTGTGTCCCGGTTACCAGCAGCTGCTTCAACGTCATCTCACTCTGAGTTGTCAGAACTCAGAACCCCTGGTTCCAGCGCCTGGGGAACCAAGCCGGAGCTGACCGGCACCGAATCCTCGTCTTCAGGTTGTTGGAGGAGCAGCATGAAACCACGTCTCAGTGTCTTTTATCTTCTCACACATGACACTCGTCCACACGTCACAACGAGGCGGTCTGTTTGTTCATGAGCCCAGAGCCCAGCCTCTCCAGCGCCGGCTGAAAGTGTTTCTGCCTCCGGTTTTGGCTGAAGACGTTTGGATGTTTCTCGCTGGACTTCAGCTCCTCTGCTGCAGATAAACATCTGGCTGCGCTCTTCCTTATTAGGCCCGTCAGTGGCGAGCGGGTTCTGCTCAGCGTCGGCCCATAAAGCGGCGCATGATGCAGCCTGTCTCTGTCGCCGCTGGCCGGACGCCACCTTTTATCTGCGACTGTTTTACTGCTGCAGCAGAGATGAGGCAGAGTCTGAGCTTCTCACCAGCAGCAGCCGCCGAACCCTCCAGAGATCCAGGCCGTCTCTACTCCGTCTCATTTTAACCCACTGAGGTCCATGTTGCTCTGCAGCTCTGTGGAACCAGAACATGAAGGAGGAGACAGAACTCAGAGGCGTCTCCTGACAGCAGCACAGGTGGAGAGATCCTCAGATGTTCAACCCTGGAGCTCATGTTGTCCTCATCAGCTGTAGAAAGATGTTCCACAGAGGAGTCAGTGGTGGAGGGTCAGAACCAGGAGGAGGAAGGTTCTGGTTCTACAGGATGTTGTTGAAGCAAACACTGTGGATGTTTAAGTGATCCGTGTAGAATAAGGAGATTTTGATAAACTGTCAGGATTTAGGCTCAGATTTGGGTCAAAACAATAAAAAGTAGATTAAAAACAGCAGAAAACGATTTTAAATCTAAAACACTGAATGGAAACATTCTCACGTTGAGTTTGACTGAAGCTCAGCATCTGAAAACGTTTGAACGGAAACACGCTGTGATCCTGAAGCCCACAAGCAGACTGAAGGCAGAAATCTGCTCCCAGCGAACATTCATATTCAGCCGAAGCCTGCAGCTCAGAGTGTCGTCATGGTTCTGGGTTTGACCCGCCGCCCTGAGCACCAGCAACCAGCAGCACATCTTACAAATAACCAGTTATCATCCTGAACTAGGACTCCCTTCGTCCGTCTATTCACCTGCAGTAATCTGAAAAGAACAGCGCTGTGCATCAACAAACCTCCAGTAAACCTGACTGTCACTGACGCTGAGGCTCCAACATCAGCTCTGATCATCAAAACCACTCATTCATTCCTCAGATACCAGCTTGTCTCCATGATGAGTCGTTTTCATCAAATAAAACACATTCAAATGAATTACTCAAAATGCAAAGTGGATTTATTATTATTATTATTAATCTTTCGTGTTTCAGCTTCATGTTGGGGATTTCTTACAAGATCATGTTGAACAAGTTGTGCTTTCAGAACCGGGTCGCGGCGCTGTCAGCTCCACTCTAACGTTCTCTTCAGCTGGTAAATCCACTGAGTTCCTCCATCAGCTCACAGCTTCACCTGCACTTTTTCCAGACGGTCGAAGCGTTCCTCTGCAGTGTCCTCACCTCCACCTGTCTGTGCTTCATCACTCGTCAGGCTTCTGCACACTTCTTCTTCTTCTTCTTCTTCTTCTTCTTGTCTGCTTTCTTTCTGTTTCAGCAAAACTATTCGGATCAATATCATCGATGATGAAGAGTACGAGAAAAACAAGAACTTCTTCCTAGAAATCGGGGAGCCGCGGCTGCTGGAGATGAGCCAGAGGAAAGGTGTGGGGGCGTGTCCTGCTGGTGTGGCCCCGCCCACATCACTAATGACCTCTGCTGATCCCGACTCACCTCAACCAGTCGGTCACCCTGACGGTTCAAGTCAAAGTCAAATCTGAACAAGTTTTTAAAGGGTTGAGGTGACTTATTCCCTCAGTGCTGTGACTGAAACCAGGTGACACAGTTTACATCACATTAAC